GGAGGCTGAAAACAACTTAAATGCATTCAGACAGGTAAAAATTTCTACATGTCTCCATTCACAAAAGGGAAAGGGATCTCAGCAACAAGTTGATTATAAATCTCATTGGAATCAGACATGCCAGCAGAGGATAACAGTGACTATTATTTGGGACTCTACGTCTCTAATAGTGAAACCTTGCACCAGTAAAAGGATGCTCAGAACAGACTGAATTGAAATAGCAGAGAAATGAACTAGTGTTTAGGGCGAGTTCACCGAGGGTGCAGGGCAAAGGCAGAGTAAGTGTGCTGGGCTACTTTATTGGGCATATATGGGCAGGACTAGGGTAGATTGGGCACTTTAGTGAAAACTTCTCCATTTAGAACTGCCTTAAGATTCATCAATGAAAGAGAATTTTAGTAGGTTCTATAAGAGGTCTGTGATCCTCACCAACAGATCTTCCATCTTATGCTCTACCCAAATCATATCCAAAGAGGAACTCAACTCCTGCCATCAACTGGGGTTAGATTGTCATTGGAGAGAAATTCTGTGAAATGATACTGCACAGACGACTGGGAGAACATCATATGCTTTAGAGCAGGGTAAGCCAGAAGCTATTCCAACTTTAGACTGAAATTTGAATGTCTATTTGCAACCAATGAGGATACAGATCTATAGGAAAAGTGGAATAGTGAGATTATCTTTAATGGAGTCCTGCTGCCTAGTTTAAATGGTTAGATTATGTCTAGGTATGTTCCAGAATCCCATTGTGATGACAAATGGTCTGCCCACATTCAGTTCAGAATCCAGTTGATTGTCAAGATGTTTTGCTAATGGGTAAGAGATGGCCCTCATTCACACTCTTAGGGCAATTATTCCTGGGTGAGGTTTTGTGGGCAGGTTGTTTCCATTTCACTGGCTATAGAAGGTTTGATGATGCAAATGTTCGGCCATCTTTTACTGTGATTCCATGATGTCACATCATTTCCTGAAAGGGAAACTGTGAATGTAACTTGTAGAGTGGATAAAGGAAAACTAGTAAAGGTAGCTTGCTCACATTTCCAAAACATTTGAAAACACAGCACACATATGTTAATTCACAAGGTGAGGGCTCATGGGGTGGGAAGTGATTTTGAACATTTTTAGAACTTTGGTTAATGGACAGGAAGCAGTAGAGATAAGTGGGGCATTTTCATGCTAGCAGGCTATGACTAGTGAAGTGGCTCAAAGTTCAGTGCTGAGATCTGAACTATTTCCATTCATATTAACAACTTAGAATGAAGCAATTGGGAGCAATTGAGCTCGGCTCGCTGGTGATATAATGCTAGATAAAAATGTAAGCTACGAGGAGGATGCAAAGAGATATGAACAGTTAACTGAGTGGTCAACAAGGCAGAAGATGGAGTATAAAATGGAAAGTGTAAGGCTAGTCACTGTAACCACAGAAAAGAAAAGCAGATTTGTTCTAACGGCATAAAACTACTAATTGTCGATGTTTAAAGAAATGCAGGTTACGTGTACAAGGAGCACCAAGTTAACATGCAGTTATGAAAGCAATTAGGAAGGTTAATGGCATGTTGGTGTTTATTACAATGAACTGCAGTATATTTAAAGGGGAATTTTGCTACAAAGTGTATGGGGCTTTGTGGGGCCTCATCTGGAGCATCATGCACAGTTTTCCCAATAGGTAGGAGATTGCACAGTACCGTAAAGGTTAATTGGAATAGACCCTGGGATGATAAGAGGCTGGGTAAATTGGTCTATCCTCTCTGGAGTTTGAAGAATAAGAGACGATCTTGTTAAGACTGCGGGCATCGTGTTGTCACTAAACTAGTGACCTCAAGGTCCAGGGCTGTGCTGTGGGGGAAAATGATCATAAGACCATAAGCTATAGGAGCAGAATAGACCATTCAGCCCATTGAGTCTGCCCAGCCGTTCAATAAGATCATGGCCGTTCTGATAATCCTCAATTCTACTTTCCTGCCTTTTTCCCCATAATCCTTGATTCCTTTACTCATTAGAAATCTGGTGATCTCGGCCTTGTTTATTAACCCAACCTGTACAGCCCACGCTGTAAATAATTCACAGATTCACTACCATCCAAAAGAAGAAATTCCTCCTCATCTATGTCTTAAATTCATGGATTCAAATCCCACGCTAGCAGATGGTGAAATTTAAATTCCAATTAATTAACAATTATCAACTGTTGAATAAAACTGATCTAGTTCACAAAGAATGTGCAAAAATTGCTGGTTTCTATTTTACAGTTGCCCTCCAGTTAATTAACAAAAAGGTACCTGTGGGAATAGGGGAGGAAACAGTTGCAGATGAGTTTATCAACTGTGTAGGTGGTAGATAGAAAGAACTTGAAAAGAATCAGAAAAGATGTACAAGGAAGTTGCTGGGACTAGAGAGTTTGAATTTTAAGGAGAGGCTGGGACTTCTTTCACTGGAGCATTAGAGGTTGAGGGATGAACCTATAGAGGTTTATAAAATCATAAAGGACATAGATAAGGTGAAAAGCAATGGTCTTTTCCTGCAAGGTGGGAGATTTCAAAACAAGAGGGCATATTTTTAAGGTAAGAGCAGAGATTTAAAAGACACCTGAGGGGCAACTTTTTCACGCAGAGGGTGGTGCATATATTGAATGAACTGCCAGAGGAAGTGGTAAATGCAGGTACAGTTGCAATATTGAAATGATATTTAGACAGGTACATGAACAGGAAAGGTTTAAAGGGATGTGGGTCGAATGCAGGCAAATGGGACTAGTTTAGAAACCTAGTGGGCATGGCCGAGTTGGACTGAACGGTCTGTTTCCATGCCATATGACTCCATGATTCTATGACTCTAAGTACCAGTCTTATCATCAATGCTGTCACCACATGAAAACATTAGCAATAAAAAGGCAAAAGATTCTCAAGGAGTTTGAGACAGGGCACTGACAGAACACTTCCCCAGGCCAGGGAATCTAAAACACAGAGATGTAACCTTGAAATAAGAAGCTGATGATTTCACCCTGAGCTGGGGAGCAAGATCTTCACTCAAGGGGTTGTGAATTTTTAAAGCTGTTCGCGGCAGAGAATTCCTTCATTGAATGTGTTTGAGACTGAATTAGACTTCTGATCACTCAGGGAATCAAAGGATATTGGGGGCAAGCAGCAGCGTGGACATAGGATCAAATTGTATTGGCTGGTGGAACACACTCGGGAGGCTGTATGCAGTACTGCAGCTCCCCTTCCATATGTTCTTGTGATCACACCGCCCAGCCTGGCCTTGGGGAGCAATGCACTCCCAGTATGGTACAAACACTAATTCCATCCGTGCTGAGTTATCTGATCCTAGCCACGGCAACAGTGGGGATCCTACATTTGGACTGTTTGCCACCCCCAGGTAATGTGAGAGAGTGCAGAAAGTCAGCCGAAGTTCCAACTCCTGTGAGCCATCCACTAACTCGTGCTGGGAAGTCTGTGTGCAGACACAGGGTGGGAACAGAAAGATGCTCTGAAATTGCAGGGCTTGATTTTGGAAGATTGCCTTCAAGCCCTGGGCACATTTGTAAAGTTTCAGGAGGATGAAGAGTGCAGAAGATGACAGAGCAAAGCCTACCTCCACACTTTTGATGGTAACATTCAATAGCTGCTATTTCTGGGCTTTCATTTTCAATCCCCTCTGCTGCCCATTTCCATCTCCCTACTGAAACCCCTCTTCCTCTGTGTAATCTTCTTTGCTGAAAGTCCTCTCCAACATCCTTCCCTTACTATATTGTTGCTGAAGATAGTAGGGTCGGAAAGCCCATTAAGATGCATATCCTTTTTGGTGCCTGAACACATTCTCAATGGTGTTTCTAACTCTGCTGCCCTCTCCCCTTCCCTCAAGGATGTCGATGATGCTGCTTTGATACGGATTGACCTGGAACGGAAAATTGAATCCCTGCAGGATGAGATTGACTTCCTAAAGAAAATCCACGATGAGGTAAGGGCTCCCTAGCTGTGATTGGGAATGGTATCAAGTGACTGGATTCTGGCCGCAGTGATCGAGCTCCTGCACCCACATCTCAACAGGCCATTTACTGGGTGTGACTGAAGAGTTAAACAGTCAGCAGCAGCCTCTTTAGAGTTGGCAAAAGCTCTCATTTGTGAATCCTCAAAGCCAGGATTCAGTCACGTGACTGTAGGAAAGCCAAGCTCTCAAAGTCTTGGGAACAAAGTTCTGCAGATGCTGGAAATCCTCGGCAAATGTCTGTAGAGAGAAGAACAAAAGGAAGGTGGCAGGTTTTATTGATACTTTGTGACAGCAGGGAAGACTTGGAAATGCACAATTTACAAGCCTGGCATGAAAAGGAGAGGGCAGACAAAAGAGAAGCTCTGTGTTTGCGTGGCAGGTAGGAGAGATTTACTGACGATAGAGATGATGGAACAAACGGTGACATTACTAGGACAAGCGAAGAATCCAAAAAAGTGTATCTGGAGGATACTGTTTAACACACCATTCTCAACCTGTTGTTCTGCTGGGTAAGACCTGGCCTCATTCTTATCTAGCAAATGATAGTCAGGGTCTCACTTGCAACGCGTTCTCTCTGCTCCTGCACCATTCCCTCTGGGCTCTCCAGTTCGCCTTGTTCCCTTCCCATTTTAACTGCTGTTCCAAGGCTTGGGGATGGGGTGAGGTCTGGTATTTTTGGGAGTAAAGAAGGACCAGAGCCCCTCAGCATAGGAGATGGAAGAGGGCACCACATGCCTAAGCACAGAGCATGGAACTGACTGATGTTTTCACCCTGTAGGAAATCCGGGAGCTGCAAGATCAGTTACAGATGCAGCAGGTCCACGTCGATGTGGATGTGTCCAAGCCAGATCTCACTGCCGCCCTTAAGGACATCCGCATTCAGTACGAGTCTGTTGCTAGCAAGAACCTGCAGGAGGCTGAGGAGTGGTACAAGTCTAAGGTGAGCAAGCTCCCTGATAGTAACAGCAAATATTAGCCCTGCCTTTATAAAGAAGGTAGTGTTATGTTTTTAAAGAATTTTTCGTAGTCTTGGGACAACCCAAAATACTCTACAATCTTAAAAAGTAGCCCCTGTTATAAATGTAGGAATCATAGAGGTCGTAGCATAGTGGTAATTTCACTAGGCTAGTAATTTAGAGTGCCAGGTTAATATTTCCAAGACATTGGTTTAAATCCCACCCTGACAGATGGTGAAATTTGAATTCAACAAAGTAAATTGGAATTAAACAAAAGAACTCGCCCAATGAAGACCATGCAGACACTTTTGATTATTTGTTTCAAGAACCCACCTGATTCAATAATTGCCTTTAGGGAAGGAAACTGCCACCCTTAGCTGGTCTGGCCTACATGTGATTCCAGACTCACAGCAATGTGGTTGACTCTTCACTGCCCTCTGGGTACTTGGGGATAGGCAATAAATGCTGGCTTAGCCAGCGACGCTCACACCCTGTGGGGAGAAAAATGTGTGCACAGCAAGATTCCAGAAACATCAATGAGGTAAATAAGTACATTGTGACCTTTTGGATTAAGTATCAGCCAGGCACAATTCTCCTGTTTTTCAAATCAGTACCATGGAAATTTTTGTATCCACCTGAGACAGCAGATTTAGCTTCTTATTTAGCATCAGATTTGCATATTATTTGAAAATGGCACATCAAATGATGCAGTATTTCCTTAATACTGCCCCCAAGTTTCTGCCTGGCTTATACATGCCAGTCCACAGAGAGGGATTGGAATTCCTGAATCTCTGACTCAAAGAAAACAGAGGGGTACCCATGGTGTGGGGCAGATGGTGGTTTGACCCCCTCTCCAGGAATTTCCACAGAGACTGGTATGGTGACCTTTAGCCTACTGCTACTGGGAGAGATACTCTACTCCAGCTGAACTTGGTGGATTTTGAACAGCAGGAGGCTACACAATAATTTATCAGTGATTACTGGTTGTCCCAAATCAAACAGAAACTGAACTTGACTGTGAAATGGATGATGATGTGTTCAGGGGCATTAGAGTGTATCAGGGGATACGATGCTCTCAGACTGCTTAGACAGCTGGCCCAGTCTGACGACTCTCCCCGTCTTTGCTCACTATCATGCCCCTAACTTCGTCCCATTGTGTTCAGTTCTCAGATCTGACCGATGCAGCCACTCGCCAGGCAGAAGCCCTGCGCCAGGCCAAGCAGGAGACGAACGATTACCGAAGGCAGATCCAGTGCCTCACATGTGACCTGGAGGGCCTGAAAGGAACGGTGAGTTCTCACTACAAGCTCCGGAAAAGGCACGGCAGGGAACACCTCAGCAGGGTAAACAGGAGAAGGCAGAGAAAGCCCAAACAAAAGAGGCACAACATTCTTTTAGTTAAGGGGAATATCTGTCCTCATTGAAGAGCCTAGTACCATTTGATCATTGATAGAGGTAATAGTTGTGCACCAAGATTTCAAGAAGGCATTAGGTAAAGAGCTACATCAAAGGCTATTGTGAAAAGTAAAAATTTGTGGTGTAAAGGACAAGGTATTATTATGATTTAAGTTTGGCTGGAGACACAAAACAGAGTATAAAAGGCTATTTGTTTGATTGACAGGAGGTAATGTGTAGAGTCCCACACGGGTCTGTATATCAGCTTCAACATTTTACAATTTGCATCAATGCCTTAGGTAGAAAGATAGGAACTAGAAGCCCAAGTTAGTCACTCCCTTAAAGCCTTCACCATCATTCAATGGCTAATGGCTGATCCTCTATCACAGTACCATATTCCCACTTTCTCCCTATACCGTTTAATGCTTTTGAAATCTAAAAGATCATGTCTCTTTCTTGAATACATTCACTTGACTTGGTCTCCACAACATTTTGTTCCATCGGTTCGATACTTTCTAAATGAAGAAAGTTTTCTTCATCTTGGTCCTAAACAGTCCACCCCACATCCTTATTGTGTCCCCTGATCCTATCTCCCCAATCAGGGAAAATATCCTCACTGTGTCTAGTCTGTCCAGCTCTGTTTAAATGTTATACATTTCAATCAAATCCCCTCTTATCTTTTGAAGGTCTGGAAAATGCAGAATGACGCATGGTAGCTAAAGTCACAGGGGCACAAAGTTAGGTAGGAAAATATGATGTGAAAAAGACTTGAGGATTTTTTTGATGGAAATGTGAACATCAAATGAGTAAGCAAAAATCTTGCAGATGGAAAATAATGTGGCTATTTGTAAAGTTGTTTACTTTGACAGACAGAATGAAAAAACAGTATTGGTGAAACCAAACGACTGCAGAATTCCCAGGTGCAGAAGGGTTTAGGTGTTCTAGTGAACTAGTTAAAAAAACATTAATGTGTATGTGCAGCAAGTAATCCTGAAGGCTAATGGGATGTTATCCATTATTACAAGAGGATTTAAACATAAAAGCAAGGATGTTATGCTTCAGCTGCACAGAGCATTGGTGACACAACATCTTGAATACTGAGAGTAATTATGGTCTCCTTATTTTATGACAGATGTAAATGTATTGGAGCCATTCAGAGGTGGGTTACTATGAGAAAAGTTGGACTTGTTTGATGGGGACAATTTAGAGGAAGCTTTACACTGTATCTAACCACGTGCTGTACCTTCAATCGTGACGTTGAACATGGTTTCATTTCATTTAAAGTTTCAATGTAATTGCTGTATAATTATTCTGAAACATCCACACAGTTTAGTTTGTTATATTCAGGAAATTCTCCATCTGAGGTCCAGGGAATAGAATATCCTTCCATCATAAATTCCATATAATCCCAACATAAAATTTTGGAGCACTTGACTTGGGAATGATGTGATCCATAGATGATCCTATGCAGGCACCTGGTACAGGGCATAGGTAGGGCTGTGTCACCCGCACTTACCAAGGCAGTGGCTCACAGGCTGTGTGCCTGAAACACCCTGAAAATAAATTACGAAGATAGCCTAGACCCTAACCTTTTCTTACTTTAAAGGCAAGTGCCAGGCGTTGTGGTCTGGATACAATTCAATTGGTTGAACTACCAGTCTTGAAGCAAAACACACTTTATTCATACTGTACAGTTAAAATACAACAAAAGAAAGAAGAGTGTATTCAAGAGGCGAGTAGATATAGCACTTGGGGCGAATGGAATCAAAGACTATGGGGAGAAATTAGGATTAGGCTATTGAGTTGGACAATCAGCCATGATCATTAAGAATGGCAGAGCAGACTTGAAGGGCTGAATGGCCTCCTCCTGCTCCTATCTTCTATGTTTAAATTGGAATAACTTAACTCTATTGGAAAACTTAACAGATTAATAGATTATTTAACAACAAAACAGTAACTGTTTGAATATAGTAATATCCATAAACATACCCTTGGCAAAGACAAATTCAGTAAAATAGGTTGCCTCATATGCAATTCTTCAGTGCAGGAAGAAAAATATCAAGAGAAAACTCAGAGAGAGAGAGAGGGAGAGAGACAGTAGCAGGGAAAGATGTACTGCAGCTTCCAAACCCAGCTTCAAGACCCCAGCAACAACTGTTACTGAAAATCTAAAACTCCCTGCTCTGGGCAGCTTGACCCCACCCATTCAGGCTGTTTCTATTGTTCCAACTTTTAAAGACAAAAAAACCCCAAGGCCTCACAAGCTGTTGCCTTCAATGGATTCAAATAGGCAGCTTGTGCCTCTGCCTTAAAGCCTTCCTTGAGAAAAAATCCAGAACAAAATATACCTCTTAAAACCAGATTATTAGCACAGGTGGTATATTGACAATCTGAGGACTGAAGGTTCCAGGCCTGCCCCTTGTGGTTTAGCTGGCAACAATGTGTAGATCACAAAGCCCAGTGTTTGGTTGTCAGCGCATGCTGTTTAAAGGATCTCAACCAGCAGCATAAATGTCTAAATTAGGGATGGCAGATCACCAGGGCTCCCGCTCCTGGCAAATGCACATCTTTGGGCACAGGAGGGAACACGATTAAGCTTGCACATGTTTGAAAATTTTATCAGCACTTACTCACCTCAATTCAGTAGCTGGGGAGTAGTGTCTTGCTTAAGTATCTAAGGAACTATGTCCTTCTGGAAAGAGCAGGAAAGTGGTAGGAGTTCATTCATTAAAATATCATCAAAAAAATCAACTCAAAAGTTGGACCTGAGTGTTAATCAATTCCAGGCCATTTGGTGAGATAAAAATCAACATACATCTTTTATTTATTGTTAGAGTTCTGCAATTCCCCTCTAATCCCAGTCCCAGTGTCAAAGATGCTGCCTATTTAAATGTGCTCAGACAATAACCAAGCCCTGTCTCACTTAACCTTAGCAAAGGCATTTAGAGACGTTCATAATCTCATGAACACTGAGATTTGCTGAGTTTGTTAATACGATCCCAGATGTAATGCCTGACGCTGGTGAAGTTCCTATCTCCGTTCTCTGACAGAATGAGTCCCTGGAACGTCAATTACGTGAGATGGAGGAACGTTTCAATTATGAAACAAGTAATTACCAGGACACGGTTAGCCAATTGGAGCGTGACATCCAGAATCTGAAGGAGGAGATGGCCCGTCACCTGCAGGCTTACCAAGACTTGCTCAACGTCAAGCTGGCTCTGGACATAGAGATTGCCACTTACAGGAAACTCCTGGAGGGAGAGGAGAGCAGGTAAAGGCTGCCCGGCACCAGAGTTTACCAATGGCCAATTGAGCCGAAATCAGACTGCCTCATCGCCGTGTCTGTCTGTCTGTCCTGCCTTGCTGCCTCTCAGCTAGTTAGTCCTGGTCCTAACCTTATTCCATCCCTGCCCAGTCTTGGGGCAGTCATTCTGATTTAGCAACATGAGGTCATTATGAGAAATTATCATCCCTTCAAATGCCTCAATCCCAACCACCTTATTTTGGAGGAACACAGGAGGCCAGGCATCAGAGGAACAGGAAAGCTGGTGTTTCAGGTTGGGACCCTTCCTCAGAAATCAGGGTCCTGATCCAAAATGTCAGCCTTCCTGCTCCTCTGATGCTGCCTGGCCTGCTGTGTTTCTCCAGCCCCACACTGTGTTATCTCTGACTCCAGCATCTGCAGTTCTTGCTATCTCATCTTATTCTGCACCTGTCTTAGAAGTGTTTGTTTGATGGAAAGTGTAGAGGGATATTTACTCTTTATATAACACTATGTTGTACCTATCTTGGGAGATGTTTAATAGGGACAATGTAGAGGCAGCTTTACTCTACCTAACCCCCTGTTGTGTTTGTCCTAGGAGTGTTTGATGGGACAGTGTGGAGCAAGCTTTATTTTCAGTTTAAGCAAGTAGAGGAAGCCTTACTGCATATCTAACACCATGTTGTCGCTGTTCTGGCAGTGTTTGATGGGTACAGTGTCAAGGGAATTTTAATTTCAGGGTAAAAGTGTAGAGCAAGTATTGCTTTTGGTTGAAAAATGTAAAGGAAGCTTTACTCTCAGCTTAAAAGAGTAAAAGAGCTTCACTCTGTATTTAACCCCCTGCTGTATCTGTCTTGGGTGTGTTTGATGGAAACAGTGTTGAGGGAGCTTTACTCTGTACTTAACCTCCTACTGTACCTGACCTGGGAATTTTTGATGGGGACAATGTTGAGGGAGCTTTACTCTGTATCTACCCTGTGCTATACCTAATGAAAGGTCCTTCTTTCCATCCCATAACAATGAGCATCATTGCTGTGCTCTGACTCAACCTCATGCTGAGTCAGTGTCCTGTCACTAACCACAGGAAATTGGTACAAGTTGGATGTCTGTGTAGAATAAGCTCTAATAACAATGGGAGACATTTTCCTGTCGTTTGATAATAAATGTTTGTTTGTTTACAGAATTTCAATGCCTGTCCAGAGCTTCTCATCTCTGCAAATCAGAGGTAAGTATGGAATCATAATAATAACTTGCCTTTTTACAGCAGTTTCCACATAGTAAACCTTTCTCAACATGCTTGACAGGAGCACTTTCAAATGAAAACCTGGCACCCAGCCACATCAGGAGCAATGAAGACTGGTGGCTCAGTGTTGAGGAAGGGAGAGGATAAGAAGGGAATTTCAGATCTTGCTCCCTGGTAACTATAGGCATAGCCACCAATGGCAGAATTTTTAAAATCATCAATCATGAAGAGATCTGAATTCCTGTAGTGCAGCAATCTGCAGGAATCGGGGTGTTTGAGAAGGTTACAGAGAGGGAGCAATGCCAGACAGATTTGAAATTCAAGAAGAATATTAAGATTGAAAGGCATTGCTGGATCAGGAAACATGTAAATCAGTGAGCACCAGGGTTGTGGGAGAACAGAACTTGATGCAAGTTAGGACAAATATCAGAGTTTTATGAGTTGGAGCTTAGAAAGGTGTGTAGAGTTCAGCAAGATTTCATAAGAAACAGAAATGTGCACATGTATTGGATTCCTCTATTCCCCTACTTGAATCCTTCTACTAGTACATGACAGTGTGGTAGATTAAAGTGGACAAAATGCACAATATCAATTTTCAATGCATTACGTTCCTTCCCTGCTTAGTAAGTGAGAGGCACAGCTGTTTCAATAAAAACTGAAAGAACTGCGGAAGCTGTAAATCAGGAACAAAAACAGAAGTTGCTGGAAAAGCTCAGCAGGTCTGGCAGCATCTATGGAGAGAAATCAGAGTTAATGTTTCAAATCAAATGACCCTTCCTCAAAACCCCAGTGGGATGAAAAGTTTGTTCACCAAGATGAACATTTCAATCTGGTGGCTATTTTCTTCAATGCGTGGGATATCATCTCCTGTTTGGTAACCTCTCATTTACACAATCTTCATCTGAGGTATTGATGTCAGAATCTTCTTCAATGCTCCCAGCAGGTGCTGTGAAGCACACATGTTTCCTGTGGTAATTTTTAAACCACATGTTGTAGTGATCATTGATCCTTTTTGCGTTGGTCACGACACATGTCTGGATGTTATAATGGGGTTGGTTGCTTTCCAACATGACTATCACATTTCAGAAGCACTTTTTATCTCCTGGCTTGAGCACTGTAGACCTGAACTTCATGGTTTTCACTGTGTTTACTCTCATTTGATCCTCCAGTTCCGTACAAGGAAACTCAAGAAACTGTGTGCACATGGAAAGTGCAAAGGTGAACGTAGCTGAAAGCTTTCCACTGGTCGAGTGAGGAATCACTGTAACTGTGATACAGCTCCTCCTTCCAAGACGTCTTGTCAGTTCTTTCTGTACATATGACTGTTATCATAGTACCCTTCAATCTTTCATTCCCTCCAATAGCCTTTTGCCAATGGAATTTGATTTGTCAATGAGTAAAACTCAGGTTGTTCGCTAATATATTGAATTCTCTGCTGATGAACAGGGATTATTGTCAAATCTTTCTGTTCGAGGGATTCACAAACAGGTTAAAATTCTGGTCAGATTTTGAGATGACTGCTTTTGTTGAGGTTGGCCTAACAATGATTGGCAATCTAATGTAGCCATCAGAATCAACAAGAAGGTGTTCAAATGTGTGAATTAGCACTAACTTCAATCCATGGTCCAGAGAGTAGTTCAGATATCTTGAGTGACTCATGAACGTTTAGTACTGTGGTTGCTTGATACAGCAATCACTGATTTTATGTTCTATTGTGTGGTCAATTAGCTAAATTAACAATGCATGCTGTCTGATTGTGGAATGCTGATGCAGTCAACTGTATAACACAGAACTGGAAGTGGTTGTAACAGTGAACTCCTTTCAAACCATTGTGAAGAACTTGTAGTGTGTGAGCAAATTTTGCTTGTAGACATTCTCCCAATCAAGTCTTTCAAGTTTTGTAATTCCGTAACTGTCAACTTTCTGTACTTGATAGAGTTTAGAAGGATGAAGGAGAATTTCATTGAAACTTAGAGAATATTGAGAGGCCTGGATAGACTGAATGTGGAGAAGATGTTTCCACCAGTAGAGGAAACTAGGATCCTGAGCACACAGTCTCAGAATGAAGGGATAACCCTTTAGGACTGAGATAAAGACGAATTTCAGCTGGAGAGTGGTGAATCGATGGAACTCATTGCCACAGAGGACTGTGGAGATCAAGTCTTCGAGTGTTTTTAAGACAGAGATAGATGTGCTCTTGATTCATAAGGGGATCGAGGGTTATAGAGAAAAGGCAGGAAAATGGATTTGAGAACCATATCAGCCATGATCACATGGTGGAGCAGACACAATGAGCTAAATGGCCTAATTCTGCCCCTATGTCTTATGGTCTTGTATACAATGCCAAAGTCTTATTTTGTTTTGTTGCCATTTTGATGTCAACCAGGTTTTGCACACCGAAGATCTTGCTCATTAACCTTTACTTCATGATTAATAGCAGAATGTCAGCAAAGTATGCTGTGTAGTCATGTAGGATGGTCCACTGGATTGAGCTTGGCTCGCTGATACATTTAGAGTTTGAGAGCAGTTTCGCTCTGTTTGAGTGGATGGCCTGCAATGTAGGTTGTTGAACACATTTATGAGTGGTCTATGATTAGTTATTACTCTAAACTTGCTTCCATACAAGAAGAGGTGAAAGTTGTAGATATTTATTCTCCTTTCCGTGGTCTGTTTACTCTGGCTATCACTATCTCAAATCAGTTCTAACAACCGAGTGTACTCAAAATACATGTCAAAAATACTGCAAAAACCTTACCCATAAATGCTTACAATCACAAGTAACACAATAGTATAAGAACTAGAAGCGGGAGTAGACCATTCAGCCCTTCGAGCCTGCTCTACCATTCAGTTTGATCGTGGCTGATCTCATCTCAGCCTCAACTCCACTCCATTCTCCACAATCCTTTAAAAATGTTATTTTCTCCTTAAATTTACTCAGTGTCCCAGTATACATCTTCTAGGGTATGAATTCCACAGATTCACTACTGTTTGACAGCAGTAATATCTCCTAATCTCTGTATTAAATTTGCTACCCATAATCCTAAAACTGCGAACACTTGTTCTGGATTGCCGCACATGAAGAAACATTATTTGTGATGCCTACCTTGTGAATCCCCTTTAGGATCTTTATATAATATATCCTACATAGATACATATATTATATAAATATATACCCTTTACATGGACTTTCCTGAAGATCAGACCAGAACAGGTGGCCCATTCTGTCTCAATTTCCCATTGTTGATCAGTTGACCTCTGCCTGGTTAATTGATTTTACTGTGAAACAAGCTGCTTTATACACTTGCTATACAAAGCAACTATGCATTTTACCCTGGATAGAAAGGATTAGTTTGGAAAGTGGCAAACATCACAAATGTGTCATAGAGTCATAAAGATTGACAACACAAAAAAGGCCTTTCAGCCCATCACATCTGCATTAGCCAAAAACAGCCACCTCACTATTCTAATCCCATCTTCCATCACTTGACCCATAGCTTTCTATGCCTTGGCACTGCAAGTGCACATCTAAATATTTTCTAAATGTTATGAGTGTTTCTGCCTCTTCCACCCTTACAGGCTGTGAGTTCCAGATTCCTACCACATCTACTCTAAACCTCCTGCCCCTTTACCTGAAATCTTGCCCCCTCATCATTGATCCCTCCATCAAGGGGAAAGGTTTCTTCCAATTTATCTCATCTATGCCCCTCATATTTTTATACGTCTCAGTCATGTCCCTCTCAATCACCTCTGTTCTAAGGAAGACAAACCCAGTCTGTCTACTGTCTCATAATAACTGAAACTCTCCAGCCCAGACAACATCCTAGTAAATCTCTCTTGCACCTTCTCCAGTGCGGTCACATCCCTCTGAGAATGTGGATTCCAGAACTGCACTCAACACTCTAGCTGCGGCCTAACCAATGTTTTATACAGTGCCAGCATAACCTCCTGCTCTTAAAAGCCAAGCATCAACTAAAAAAATCAAATATACCAAATGCCTTCTTAATCATTATATCCACCTATACTGAAAGCTTAAGGGACCAGTGTAAATACACAGCAAGGTCCCTCTGATTTTTGGTGCTTCCCAGTGTCCTAACAGTCATCATGTATTCCCTTGCCTTGTCCTGTCCAAGTGTATCACCTCACATTTATCCAGATTGAGATAACAAGGTGTAGAGCTGGATGAACACAGCAGGCCAAGCAGCATCAGAGGAGCAGGAAAGCTGACGTTTCGGGCCTAGACCCTTCTTCAGAAATGGGGGAGGGGAAGGGGGTTCTGAAATAAATAGGGAGAGAGGGGGAG